CTTTTCTAAAGACAAAAAGTCCCAGTGGCCGGTGTGGCAGAGTGCAGGCGGAAGGGCTGCTGGGTGTGATCAGAGGCAGCCAAGGGTCATTAGTTAGGCAAAGGTCCTGGGCGGGGTGCCCCTCAGGTGATGCCGAGGGGTGGCAATGCTGAGGCCTGGAGCTGCAGCTGCCAAGAGCTCCCAGTGCTCAGATCCCGACCGTAAGTGCTGGAGTTCCCCTCGCCGCTCCTGAGCGGCCTGAGCCAGCTCCGCTGGCAGCTGAGGCGTTGCATCTAACGGCAGGCGGGAGCAGCCATCGGCTGGCTGGGGCAGATTCAGGTCAGCTCCTGGGCTTGTCACTGGCCTCCGTCCCAGCGTGGTGGGAACAGTTGTCAAGCAGGGTGCCCAGCAGGGGTCTGAGGCAGCAGCCTCACCTGCGGGGCGTGGAGTGGATCAGCTGGGACACCTGCTGCATGTAGTCTGTGGCCAGCAGCACCACCTCCTCCTCCTCTGAGAAGTCCTCCTGGAAGATCTGGTCCAGCAGCCACTTCCAGCGCAGCTGTGGGACCCAGGACAGCAGCCACAGAGGACAGAGAGGAAGAGGAACAGAAGACACCAAGCCCAGATGCGTGGAAGACTTCATTCATCCTTCTGCACCCAGGATCCATCCCTAGACATCATGCCGGCCAGGCCTCAATCCCAATCACCACACATGGGTTTCCAAGAAATCTTACCTAGCACAGCTCAGAGGCAGCACGCTGCTCCTCACAGGTGACGTTGATCTACGGTGTGCGGGCTCTAAAGCCACCTGTGAGGTTTCTTCTGCATTCGCTGAAAGGCCTTTGGCCTTTCTGATTGCCTCCTGCACCAAGGCCTGGATGAGAGTTGGGGTTTTAGGCAGAAGCAGATCTAAGGGCCACAGGCCATGAAACAAAAGAGGCTGTGGGAGACGGTTGGAGGGAGGAAGACGGTGGAGGCTTGGCCCAGGGTCTTTGCACATGCCGCCGCTTCTTGGCTGCCAAACTGGATGTCATCATCCACTCATTCCAGGATTGGTACTCAATAGCACAGTGAAGACACAGGAAACATCATTTTCTGGTGTACCTACAATATTTTAATGCCTACAATGTACTGTTCTGTTAACTGTGAAAGAGCATTATGTCTTCAAAAAAATAAAACCATGTGCACCTTAACCTAAAAAGGTGTTATTGCCAAAAAAAAAAAAATGCTAGGCATTGCTGGGCATGGTGGTACACCTTCATAGTCCCAGCTCTCAGAAGACCGAGGCAGGAGGATCTGGAGATTAAGGCTAGCTTGGGCTTCATGGGGAGACCAGGTGAAAACAACCTAACAATAAGCCAGGTCCCAACATCGAAGCCTCAGCAAAACATGTCATGTTGGAGCTGGTGCAGGGTCTCATGTCATGTTGGAGGTGGTGCAGGATCTATGCCAGTGAGTCAGCTGCTGACGGCTCAGGTGCTGATCCCTAACGCTTGGCATAATTCTGCCGTCAGCCATACCTGCATTCCTTATTCAGGCAGCTGAGACCTGAGAATCAAGGTCCAAAGCACTGCGTGGGCAGTAAAGCCCATGAGATTCTAACCTGCAGTTAACCAGCAAAAAGCCAGAATGGAGGAGTGACTCAGGTGCTAGAGCACTTGTCTTGAGTGTAAAGTGAGTGTACGGGCCTGAGTTCACGTCCCAGTAGTGGCACAGGACCAAATCGACAAGATTCTGCAGTCGTGTTGGCCGCATCCACTGGCTCTTCCTTACACACACACAAAATAGCAAGCCATGCTATTTTGATGGCATTTTACCCACAAAATAGCTTCTTTCAAATTAAGAACGAATGGGCTCAAGCCAAGGTTATTAATAGCCATGCGCAGAGGCACAGGGCTGTGCGCCCAGCTCTCAGCAAGTGAAGTCTGGAGGATCATGAAGTCCAGACCAGCCTCCACTACATGGCTGGACTCTATCAGAAGAGAGGAAGGAAGGAAGAGAGAGAAGGAGGGAAGGAAGAAGGAAGGAAGGAACGGAGGAAGGAAGGAAGGAAGGGAGAGAAGGAAGGAAGGGAGAGAAGGAAGGAGTGGAGGGGGGGAGAAGAGGGAAGGCAGGCAGGGAGGGAGGGGGGGAGACAGGCAGGAAGGAAGGCAGGAAGGCAAGAAGGCAGGAAGGAAGGAAGGAAGGAAGAAAGGAAGGAAGAAAGAAAGAAAGAGAGAGAGAGGAGGGAGGGAGGGAGGAAGGGAGGAAGGGAGGCACGCACACATGCAGATACCACTCCATTCACAGAAAACATCTCCTCACCTGAAAAGTTTTACCAATGAGAAGCTGAGCACGTGTGAGACCCTGAATTCAATCCCAGCACCACATATACCAAAAAGGACTTGAAGGTGCAAACCACTGCTTGGTCTGTGGGTGAAAGAGCACACTGTGAAAAGAAATATTTTCAAAAGAACATTTTTTTTTTGGATCCGTAGATCTCAACAGTGAGCTTAATGTGTCAAGTAAACGACATTGTACAGATGTGCTCTTTGCACAGGCAGAGTTGGATTTCTGAATACCTTTGAAGACCTCTAGACCCAGGCACCAGGGGCTCGTGCCTGAAACCTTAGCTACTTTGGAGATTGAGACCTGAGGATTGCAGTTCAAACTCAGCCTGGGTAGGAAAGTCTGTGAGATTGATCTCCCATTAACCACCAAAAGGCTGGAAGTAGAGCTGTGGCTCAAGTGGTAGAGCACTAGCCTTGAGCAAAACAAGCTCAGGGAGATGCCAAGGCCCTGAGTTTAAGCTCCAAGACTGGCGCACACACACACACTAACTCTAGGATTATTGAAATGGTAAATGAGCACTGGTTTCAACTTTCCATCTCCAACTACCTTGGTCCCTACAAGAGTCAGCCTGTCTTTGAACACTAGCCGCTCCCCTCTCACTATGGAAATCTTAGATGGGGGGGGGGTTACTAGTACCTCATACCTATAATCCTTGCTACTCAGGGGGCTGAGATCCACAGGATTGGTGTTCAAAGCAAGCCCAGACAGATAAAATCTAACCATCTCCAAAACAATCAGCAAAAAGGATTAGATGCGTGGGTCACGTGGTAGAGTACCAGCCCAGCAAGGCCCTGAGTTCAAACTCTAGTAGCAGCCAAACACACAAAACTCCTAGATGGCCTCTTTCTTTCTTTCTTTTTTTTTTTTTTTGTCGGTCGTGGGGCTTGAACTCTGGGCCTGGGCACTGTCCCTCAGCTCTTCAGCTCAAATCGAGCACTCTACCACTTGAGCTACAGTGCCACTTCCGGTTTTCTGGTGGTTTATTGGAGATAGGAGTCTCACGGTCTCTCCTGCCCGGGCTGGCTTTGAACCGCGATCCTCAGATCTCAGCCTCCTGAGTAGCTAGGATTACAGGCGTGAGCCACCAGTGCCCGGCTTAGATGGCCTCTTTCAATAGAAGGCTATCCAGGCACAGTGGCTCAGGCCTGTAATTCCAGCGACTCTGAGGCTGAGATGTGAAGGTGGAAGGAAGGTGTGTGGAGTTGTGTGTCACGGGTCCCTTAGGACCATGCCCTGGCCCTGAATTCAAGCTCCAGTACTGCACAAAATAAATAAATAGAAACCAACCAGTGTGTGTCTCCTGTGGAGGGCACAGCTGCAGTGAGAAGCGCTTTTCTGGAGCACAGACGTGGTCTCCATCCTCACCCCTGCAAGAACTAAATGATGGCGACTTCGTTGTGTACCCCGCAACTCAACACAGAATGGATGAACCTCTGCAACCTGAGGGGATTATTGGCAGCAGCGCTATTCTAACTGACTCTTATGTTCTAAGCTTCTCCACCCAGGGCCAGGGCTTTGGAGTGACGGCACCGGCAGAGCTCACTCACTGGGCAGGTGACAAGGACACACACATCGCCATGGTCTCCACGGCTGTAGTTCAAATCTTCCATGTTCCCCCCCCAGGCCTCTATGTTGGAGGCCTGCTGCCCTCTTTCTGCCACTTGGGGGGGGGGGTTGGGGGTTGGGGGAGGTGGAGGCCAGAAGAAGGGGAGAGAGGAGCCTGGGCCACTTCCTGTCCTTTGTGTCTTAACCTCCAGAGCTTGAAGTGTTCACCACACATCCCTGCCAAGCTGTGCTGAGACAGGACCAAAGCCTAAGAGCCAATCTATTCTGCTTTTCTTTTGCCATTAATGGGATTTGAACTCAGGGCTTGGACACTGCCTGAGTGCTTTTGCTCACAGCTGATGCTCTACTATTTTGAGCCACAGCTCAACTTTGACTTTCTGGTGGTTAAGTGGAGGAAAAGTGTCTCATGGATTTTCCTTCCTAAACTGGCCTTGCACTGATATCCTCAGATCTCCTGAGTAGCTAGGGTTACAGGTGTGAGCCACCAGCGTATGGCTCCAGCCATACTATTAATACAGGGCTGAAATCTTCAAATCTGGGCCTTTTTCTCTTTTTTCCTCTTCCTGATTCTCCTTCTCCTCCTCCTTCCACTTCTGGCTTAAAACTATTTCTCCCCAGGCTGGTGTTGAACTGTGATCCTCACATCCCAGCCTCCTGAGTAGTTAGAATAAATACAGGTGTCCAGCAATTTCCTATAGGATGGAGAGCTGAGCAGCAGAGCTCTCCTGCTCCACCTGCCCCAGGACTGGCCAGAACTCGCTGGTGTGGCAGGTGCTGGTGCGGAATGAGCACCTGTGTTCCCCACCTCTGCCCATTCTAGGAGGCCATGCATGACCTGGAACCCCAGGCTGGGCTGCGGCTCCCTGGCCAGGCCAGTGGCTCTTTGCCCATGAGCACTTCTCAGCCGCCAGCAAAGCCAGGGACCAGCCGCCTGGGTGCAGGCAGGGGCAGCAGGGTGCAGAGCTGAGTGCGTTGTCCAGCCGCTCATGATCTTCATCTGCACCTGCCACACTGCGCTCCCTCAAGCACCCCACCCCACCCCATAGTCCCTCCACGCCCGGAAAGGTCAGCCATTGCACTGTGGAAATGCTAGCTTTATTGCTGTGTGTGGCGGGAGAGCGGAAGTCCTGGCGGACTCAGGCCCCCAGCCCACCCAGCTTGTGGGCTGAGCTGCTGAGGAGCCCAAACCAAGAGAGGCAGCACAGGTCCCATCCAGTCCTGGCCCACGGGGACAGCGGGGCTGACTGCGCCACCCAGGCCCGCTGGTTACTTCTGAGCTCCGCTGGTCGGGGCTCTGGAGGAGGCCCCAGAACAGGAAGCTGTGTGAGGCTCCGGCAGAGGTAGAGAGAACAGCTCCCCGAACAACCGGTGTGGAGCGAAGCCAGCCTAAGGTGGAGTGGGAGCCGCAGCATCTGGGATTCAGGATTCATCAGGCGCCATGGCTGCCACAGGCAGCAGCGCCGGCAGCGGCAGCAGCGGCAGCAGCAGCAGCACGGGCAGCGCCCACAGCAGCACGGGCACGCGAGTCTCAGTGGCGTTCAGGCCGGACCCCGCCGAGGCGGCCTGGCCGGACCCCGCGCTTTGTCCGTGCCCGGCGGGGGGCGGCAGGCCGCAGTCGGTGTAGGGCTCCAGGCAGGCGGCGAAGGCCATGACGTGCGCGATGTAGTTCTGCTCTTGGACGCCATGCAGCAGGTGCGCCTGCGGGCCGCGCGCAAACACCGCCACGTCCTCCCCGCTGTGCGTCTCCGAGGCCAAGGGCACAGCCGCCTGCTGCCGGTAGGTGGGCGCGCCTGGCGGGACGGGACGCTGAGCACGTGACCTGCAAGCTCCCCGCGCCCCGACCCCCACCGGGAATCGCCATCACTCACCGCTCTCGCTTTCCCGGGTGTCTGGCCGCGCGCCCTGGCCCAGCGCGTAGCCGGGGCCGTTGGCGTAGAGGATGGACGTGTAGGACTTGCCGTCCAGGGCCTTATCGGGGGACAGGCCTGCACGGGGAGAAGGGGACACCTCGCACTCCTGCATGTGGGTGCCTGTGCCACACCCCACCTGTGCCACAGAAGAAACTGAGGCAGGCGGAGATTTCTGCTCTCCAGTTGATGCCTGGTGGCCACGCCTGTGATCTTAGCTACTGAGGAGGCTGAGGCCTGAGGATCAGGGTTCTAAGCCAGCCCCAGCAGTTAGCCGCTCATGTGCGACGAGCCCCAACTCATGGGCAGTGGAGCGGGGTTGGAAAGCCCAGGGCAGCACCAGGCCTGGGAAGGAAGGGAGGTGGATTCCACGGCCCTGCCATGTCCCCAGCGTACCGAAGATGGAGGTGCCCCGCCGTGTGTAGCCCCCGAAGGAGAAGACGTGGGAGTGGTCGGCGGTGACGAGGGTCAGCGTGTCCCGCTCGTCGGTGAGCAGCGCGGCCTTCTCGATGGCGGCGTCAAACATGACGGCCTCGGTCAGCGCCTTGTGTGCGATGCCCTCGTGGTGGCCGTGGTCGATGCGGCCGCCTGCGGGAAGCAGGTGGCAGTGCCAGGGTGCTGCTCCTGCCCGGGGTGGGTCCCCTCCCCCCGGAACGGCCGCTCACCCTCCACGAAGAGGTAGAAGCCCCGCGGGTTCCTGCTCAGCACCCGCAGCGCCGCCTCCGTCATCTCCTCCAGGGACGGGTCCAGCGCGGGGTCTCGGGTCATCTCGTACTTCATCTCGGTGGGCTCGAACAGGCCTGAGGGACGAGGCGGCGTGGTGAGCCCGGGCGCGCGGGGCGCGCGGGGCGCGGGGGCAGCGCAGCAGGGGGTTCTTACCCAGGAGGTGAGTGGCCGCGGGGTCCTGGGCCGCCTGCAGGAGGCCTGTGCGGTTCCACACGTACTGCGCCCCCTGGAGGAGCACAGCGCTCAGCGCGGAGGAGGCCGCGCCCGCCCGCCCGCCCGCCCGCGCCCCTCCCCGGGGCCAGGGTACCTGGTGCTGCCCCAGCCACTCCTGCACCAGGTCGCGTCCGTCCAGCCTGCTTCCTGCCCGCGTGGCGTCCGCCGGGTATTCGGGGTCCGGGGTCCCCTTGGGGAACATGAACTTGCGGCCCCCGCCCAGGATCACCTGTGGACACAGCACCAGCTGGCCGCTGGGCCTGGCCGCTCTCCTGCCCGTGCCCCCCCCCAGCCCCAGCCGCCCACGCCTGCCCGCGGCCCGCGGCGCCCGCGCGCGCTCACGTCGATGTCCATGTTGGAGACGAGCTGGGCGGCGATGTCCCGGCAGCCCTCCTGCAGCGCCGAGGCCGGCATGTCGGCGTCTGAGTACCAGTTGCGGTTCACCGTGTGCGCGTAGGTGCCCGCGGGGGACGCGTGCTGCACGCGGGTGGTGGTCACCACGCCCACCGACTTCCCTGCACACACAGGCCCGAGGTCAGCACGGGTCACCCAGACCTCCAAAGATGCTGCCCGTGTCCTGAGCTCAGCGGCCCCCCACACCTGCTCGCTTGGCGCGGTGCATCACAGACGAGACCTCGTTGCCGAAGGTGGTGTTGCACTGGTTGAAGCGCGCGGCCGCGCTCAGCCCGATGGTCTTGAAGTGGGCCTTGACCCCGCACAGGAAGGCCGTGGCTGTGCCCGCGCTGTCTGGGACCTGTCTGTCCACGTTGTAGGTCTGGGGACAGAAACTCAGCTCTCATCTGGCTCAGAATTCACCCAGACAATGATGCTGCCAGTTGGGGAGTCGTCCTCACTGACAGGACTCCTAACTGGGCTCAGCTCTGCGGGGCCTCCCTCTGCCCCTCCCAGCCCTGCCCTCCCCCTCCCCAGCTGTGGGGCTCAGGTGACAGTGCTCACCTTGGACAGAGCCACATAAGGGAAGCGGTCCATGGCCAGGGGCGTCTCAGGTCCAGGATGGCCCTCCATCTGCCCCTTGAGGATGCGGGTGGCCGTCACTGTGGACACCCCCATGCCTGCGGGAGGAGAAGCCGGTCAGGTCTGGCCCCGGGGCTGGCCTGGGTTGTGGGGTGCATTGGTGGTGGGCTGAAAGGCCGGGCAGGGGGTGGGGTGGGGGAGGGTGGAGGTGGGAGAGGGGTGGAGGGGGTGTTGGGTGGGGGTGCGCGTCTGCGTGCTCACCGTCTCCCAAGAAGAGGATGAGGTTGTGGGCTGAGGTCTGAAGGGGCTGCCGGCTTCTGGCGGCCAGCAGGGCCTCGGCGGCCTTTTGGTTCCAGAAGGCGGGGTTCTCCTCTTCCACTGGCCAAGGGGTCGGCAGAGACTGGGGGAGGCCAGGCTTCTCGTGGGGAGCCGGAACGAGGTCTTGGGCCTGCTTCTCAGGTAGGATGGCACCGAGACACCATGGTGGCTGCAGTACAAGGAACAGCAGCAGCAGCCAGCTTCTGTCCATGTCGGCGCTGCCGATGGCTGAACAGCAAGAAGGCGAGTTCCACACCAAGTCCAGAGTGCCCAAGCTGAGCTGAGTTGCGAAACTTCCTTCCCACTTATAAAGGCTCAGATCCCTTCCTCAGAGCCCAGCACCACCCTGCTCCACCCTGCCCGCTAAAACTCATCCCCATTGGGGAGAGTTTTGGCAGGGTGTGGCTGAGCTGAGGGCCTGGGCCACACAGGAGCTTCCTGATGGGCTCAGGGTGGATCCCAGGTGTGCAGGCCCCTGCGCCCAGCTGCCTTTGGGGCACAGAGGCAGCCACCCCTCCACTCTTGCTGTTTTTTGGGAGCCCATCACTGCCCCTGGATGTGGAGTTGGGGCTTAGCATCAGGGAGACAGAGTCGCATAGAGGAGGAACAGCAGGCAGAGGGCCCGGCTGTCAGATCACCTCTGAGACCCCGGAAGGTGGAGTCAGGAAAATTGGGCTGCAGGGACTGGGGGTGTGCACCGTGTGTATCTGGAGTTACTGGGGTGTTAGGCCTCTGTATGTATGGGGGTGTAAACACTTTCCTGGAGCAGGCGGGATAAGTTGAGTCAGTGTTTGGGGCCAAACCAGGCAGGGACTCGGTTTTTCAGAGCAGTAATTTACACAAATGCACGGGGCACTTTTCTTCCTGAGACAATGCTTGAAGCCAGAGATGAGGCTTCTGAGAAGGAGTGGAGCGTTTCCATACACTCAGATGGGGTTACAATCCTTTCTGTGTATTGGTGTCTCAAACCTGTAATCCTTGGGGTCGGGAGGGAAGGGATGGGAGGGGAAAAACGAAGGAGATAACAATGCTCAAGAGGAAATGTACTCATTACCTTACTCAGGTAACTGTAACCCCTCTGTATTCTTATAAGAAAAAAATTATATCTATATATATCTATAGATATACATATACATACATATATATATACCCTGTAATCCTAGCTACTCAAGAGGCTGAGTTCCAAGAACCAATGATTTGGGCCAAGCTGGGCAATGGTGGCTCATGCCTATAATCCAAGCTACTCAGGAGATCTAAGGATTGCAGTTCAAAGCCAGGCCAGGCCAGGCAGGAAAGTCAGTGAGAGTTTTATCTCCAATAAACCACTCAGAAAACTGGAAGCAGCGCTGTGGCTCAGATGGGAGTAGGTTTATCTGGAGCTGAAGAGCTGGGGGACAGTGCCCAGGCCCAGAGTTCAAGCCCCACAACCGACCCTCCCCTCTCCCTACAGATTTGAGCCAGCCTTTTATGTTAATTTTTGCCAGAGTTTATTTTGCCAGATTCAAGGATGCACTATTCTAATTGTCTAAGATGGGAGCAGCCCACAAATCCTGGGATGACTGGATTAGCATAATCTGCTAGTGTGTTTGTTCTAGTTTATAATTCCATCCTTTAAGGAGGCTGAAGGAGGATTCAGGGTTCAAGGACACTGAGCCTGAAAGTGAGACTCTATCTAAAAGTTTTGTGTTTTTTGTGATATTACCTTAGTCTTTTTTTAAAGATTTAATTTATTGGAAGGGTAGTGTTAGAGAGGTTACAGTTACGTATGTCAGGTCATGAGTGTGTTTCCTGCAGAACGTCGTTACCCCCGCCCTCGTTTTCTCCCACTTTCCCTCACCCAGACTCCCCTCCCCCCCAAGTTGTAGCTTTCAGTTCCGACGCGGAGCCGCAGCCGCTGCGCTGCTCACCCTTTGTCCTTTGTCTCATTATTTTCTTATTCCTCTTTTCTAAAGATTTTAAAAAGGAATCTTTCAGCCCATTTCCTTCTCAGGCGTCAGGGCATTTCTCTTCCACTTCTCCCTACTTTATTTTGTTACACTAAAAAGTAAAAACCTCCACCTTGTGATGCTTCTTTTTTTTTGGGGGGGGGGGTCCGGTCATGGGGCCTGAACTCTGGGCCTGGGCACTGTCCCTCAGCTCTTCAGCTCAAGGCTAGCGCTCTACCACTTGAGCCACCTTCTCAGCCCTGTGATGCTTCTTTCTGAGAGCAGTGGAAATCCTCTTTACATGAGGACCTGAAGTTCCCTAAAGTGACCTGGAACTGGGAAGCCGAGGGACCCTCACCCTCCTCCCTGCGCCTCTGGCGGGAGGAAATGGGCGAGCCAGCCTACAGCTGAATCTTGTAAGGCACAGAATGAAAGAGAGAGGAAAAACACTGAGACAGAAGACTTTATAATAGTCTTGAGGCTTGCCCTCCTTCCCCAAGCAAATGTTGGGATTTTGAGATCGACTGTGAGCTAAGTGACAACCAAATATTCAAATTTCAGGAGGGATTAAGGAAATTAATATCTGGCCAAATGTGACATAAACAACAGCAACAAAAAAATAACCACAACACAACAAGCAATGAGGTGTTAAATGACTGGTATTTGCAACTTTGGTATATTGAGCTGATTTTTTCTGACTTTTGAGTTTCTGCAGTTTGTCTGACAAGAGAAATTTGGATTCTGTGTTGTAATTAACAAGGAACGAATGTGAGGCTTAAGGAGATCTGCTGTGGGGCTGGGAAGGTAGCTCAGTGGTAGAGTGCTTGCCTAGCATGCATGAAACCCTGGATTCCATTCCTCAGTACCACATAAATAGAAAAAGCCAGAAGTGGCACTGTGGCTCAAGTGGTAGACGCTAGCCTTGAGCAACAGAAACTCTTAAGTTGACAATTATATTTCAGGGCTTGGTTTATGCCATTCCATGTCTTCCGTCTTCTTGCGTGTACAGGTCTTGTTGGGAAATCTACTGTTATTTTAATGAGCTTGCCTGCCGTTTTGTGACTTGTCACTTCTTTGCTGCATTCAGTATTCTTTCTGTAGCCTTTATTTAGCACCTTAGCTACCAAATGCCGAAGAGTGTTTCTTCTCTGATTGTAACTCTAAATTGAGTGTTCTGTAAGCCCCTTCTACTTCTGCTTCTTTACTTTTGCTAGTCCTGGGGTTTGAACTCAGGGCCTGGGTACTGTCCCTGAGTCTCTCTATGCTCAAAGCTAGCCCTCTACCAATGAGGCACAGTTACTTCTACCTTTTTCTGAGTAGTTTATGGGAGATAAGAGTCTCATGGACTTTTCTGCCCGGGCTGGCATTGAACCTCAATCCTCAGATCTCAGCCTCCTGAGTAGCTAGGATGACAGGCATGAGCCACCTGCGCCCAGCTGTAAGCCTCTTCTTAATAAACCTTACTGAAACTTTCTCAAGGTTGATAGTTGTTTTTCCATTTTTCTTGAATAGATTACTTACTTCTTTAGTTTTAGCTCTTTTCCTTCTTCAGTATCCACAATGGTTAGGATGTTTTTTGTTTGGTTGGTTTGGGTTTTGGTGGTGTAGAGTTTGGAGCCTTATATTTCCTAGGCTCGTAGTCTACCCCAGGGTTAGTCTTTTCATGGTATCCTAGAGGCCTTACAGATTCCGTTTGGATTCTCTTGGTGTTTGTTCAGTGTCACTGATCTAATTCTTGTGCTTGATCTTCAAACCAAGACACTCTATTTCCAGCTTCTTCTGTTCTGCTGGCTAGGCTTTTGGTTGCGTTTTTCACTTGTGCTATTGAGCTCTTCATTTCCAAGATTTCATTTAGATTGATTTCAAGATATCTGTATCTTTATTGATTTCCTGCATTTGTCTTCCCAATAGGAGGCAAAACTGTCTAGGTCACATTGTTTGTTTTTGTTGTTTTGTTGGTCGTGGGGATTGAACTCTGGGCCTAGGCCCTGCCTCTGAGCTCTTCAACTTAAGGTGAGCACTCTACTGCTTGAGCCACACTACCACTTCTGGTTAATTGGGGATAAGAGTCTTACAGACTTTCCTCCGGGCTGGCTTTGAACGACGATCCTCAGATCTCAGCCTCCTGAGTAGCTAGGATTACAGGCTTAAGCCACTGGCACCCAGCTGGACGTAACTATTGACACCTGAGAAAAGAAAGGTCCCCTTAAAAATTAGGGCTGGGAAGGTGGCTCAGTGGTAAAGTGCTTGCCTTGTACACATGAGGCCCTGAGTTCGATTCTTCAGCACCACATAATAGAAAAAGCTGGAAGTGGTGCTGTGGCTCAAGTGGTAGAGTGCTAGCCTTGGGCTGAAGAACTGAAGGACAGCACCCAGGCCGAGAGTTCAGGCCCCACAACTGACCAAAAAAAAAAAAAAATTCAGGCAAACTCAGAGCAACAGCTCACTATTTAATCAGGGACTGGCTGGGTTCTACAGGATTTGAACCCCTGGCCTTAGGGTAATAATGGCAATAACCCAGGACCTGATTATAAACCTCTGACATGAACTAGGAACCACAACAACAGAAAAGAAAAGTCTATCAGAACAGAAAAGTCTATCAACACATAAAGGATTATTGGAACCTATCCTGCTCTGGGAGCTCCAGTTTTAGGTTTGTCTTTTTTTTGATATGTAACCAAAAGGTGGGACATGACACTAAAGGTCCTTTCCAAGCTGGGTGCTAAGTGTCTCACAGCTGTAATCCCAGCAACTCAGGAGGCTGAGATCTGAGGATCATGGTTCGAAGCCAGCTTGGGCTGCAAAGTCCAGGAGACTTATATCTTCAATAAATTACTCAAAAAGCTGGAAGTGGACCTGTGGTAGAGAGCTAGTCTTGAGCAAATAAAGCTCTGGGACAATTCTCAGGCCCTGAGTTCAAGTCCTAGAACAGGCACACACAAAAACATTCCTATTCAAAGATGGTGGGGAGAAATAGGGGGAGAACCACAATGGAGTGGGTAACAATGTTCAACAAGAAATGTACCTCACTCATGTAAATGTAGCCTCTCTGTACGGCATCTTTACAATAAAACTTAACAAAACAAAGATGGGAATTGCATGGTTTATGACTTATTTTCTAAAATATTAGATGCTGTCACATCAAAGAACATAATCCTTGCATTTGTGTTTTAAAAAAACTATATCCCTTGATCATTACAACAAAAGCAGATTTGTCATGAAATGAAGGATTTTATTCCTATAAATCAATAAAAGATTAAAAATGGACCTCTCTCTGGGGGCACTCAGCAGTAAATTAAAAATGCTGTCCGTAGATGTTAGCTACAACCCAACCACTGCATCTGAAATCAACAATAGGTGGATCTAGACTTCCTACTTTATAGTAGCTATTAATCCACTATGTTGTTTCTGTACATTGTAGATGTTTCCAATACATTCAATCTAGACATTGCATTTCCTTAATGCTCTTTGTAAGAGACTTACTAGCTTATCCACATATAGGAAAGTGTTTACTTGATGGGTTATATGTTATGCATATGTGGAAATGTTACAACAAAATCTCCTTGTACAACTAATGTATGCTAATGAAATAGTATTTTTTAAAACTGAGAGGAAGAAAAGACTAGGCTGCCACACAATGCATCTGTTTCTGAAATGTCTGTCATTTTCAATGCATGTGTCCACAGTGTGGTCTGGCAGAGCATGCTAGGTGCCGCAGCTGCCTGTACTTCACGATGTAAACACTGAACTGCGCGAGGAGGAGCTCATTGCCTTTTATTCCATATGTTGTTTTTTAAGCCAAAATCTATATTGTACAGGTTCCAAACTCCTGGGCTCCAGCGATCCTCCTGCCTCAGCCTCCCGATGAGCTGAGGTCGTAGGCCTGTGCCCAGGAGAAAGTCCTCACCTTTAATGCTCTCCCAGCCACTCTGGCAACACCAAGGTCAGTACCTCAGTTGTTCGTGGGGTGTGTGTAATACACGCTCACTTTCCCATCTCAGCTGTCAGACACACAGCACTCCACACAGCCCCAGCAAGACACAGGACCAGCAGGATGGAGGGGCGTTGCTGTGTGAAATCCCCGCAGCTGCTTCTCGTGGCTGGCGATGGTGGTCGTCCTTTTTCAGTAGTTACAATCTCCCTTGCTAATTGTTTTAGGAGAAAAAAGTGAGCTTGACTCATCAAAAATTACTAATAGAGTAATACCAAGGCCACGTGTGGCTATGGACAGAGATCAGGAAGGAGACACAGGAATGGCTGCTATGGGAAGAGATCAGGAAGGGGATGCAGGAATGGCTGCGCGGTGGCAATTACTGGTGATGAGAACAGAAATTCACCAGGCCTTGGGCCCATGCTCCATCCCTACTTTCCAGATGTCCTTTGACCTTAATCTCTCCAAGCCTCTGGCCTGAGACATGGAAAAGGACAGTATCTGCATCCCAGGGCTGTTTTGGGGACTTAGCTGGAGGGGGAGGGGGGGGCGGGAAGGGGCAGGCCTGACCTTCAGAGCAACGCCAGTCTTGGAAGTTGCGGAGGTGTGGGAGGCCAAGTTTGAGAGGTGATAAAAGAGGTGACACAGAAGCACTCTCGTGGCTGGTGGGACCTGTGTGACCCAGTCCAGCTGGGCCCACCCCCACCCCCACCAGCTTTCCTTCCTTCAAGAAAACTCTGCAGGGTCCTGGGGAGGGGCGGGAAGGGGATTCCGCCCCTCTCCTTCCACATGAAAGTGCCATGGAAGTTCCCAATGGACTGTTGAGCTCCTGCAGAGGGAACAGGGCCCAGTCTCCGAGGACCCAGGGTGTGGGACAGGGTCAGAAGAAAGGCACTCTGTGCGGTAACCTCTGTGCGGTCGGAGCTGTGGTGGTTTAGCTCCGTATTCAGGAGGGCAGTTGGGTTCTTTGTGTGCTTTTCCGAGTCTCCCAGATCAACGTGGAGAAGGCTCAGAGGCTTCAGAGCACAAAACAAGACCACCCATTTCCCAGTCTCCACGCTGCTGCTGGCTGGAGAGAAAGATAAAGCAAACTGCCACTGAAATGCTACCACGTGCCAGGCCGTGTGCCGCCTGCCCCAGGCCCCTAAGCAAGCAGGGCACGTGGAGAGTGGTCAAGTTAAAACAAAGCCCGGCTGTGCTCCGCGCCAAGGGTCCACTCGGAGCCCCCCTCCTTCCCTCCTTCCGGGCAGCAAAGACAGGCCAGGCCCCTGCGCGCTGCCCCCCCCCCCCCCGCCCCGGGCCTCCAGCCTCTAGCATCAAGCCTCTTTGAGTCGGCCTCTGCCTCCCACAGCCGCACACCAGGGGCCATGAGGACGGCGGCCAGGAGGCCCGCGTTATCGCCGGCCTCCAAGGCCACCGGGGCGCTGGGAGCCGGCCGGGGCGCCATGGAGGCCCCGTACTCCATGACCGCGCACTACGACGAGTTCCAGGAGGTGAAGTACGCCAGCCGGTGCGGCGCGGGCAGGGGCGGCGCGCGCGGGGCCTCGCTGCCGCCCGGCTTCCCGCGGGCCGCGGGCCGCGGCGCCGGCGGGGCCCGGGCCTCGCTGCCGCGCTGGAACCGGCGCGAGGTGTGCCTGCTGTCGGGGCTGGTGTTCGCCGCCGGCCTGTGCGCCATCCTGGCCGCCATGCTGGCGCTCAAGTACCTGGGCCCGGGCGCGGCGGGCGCGGGCGCGGGCGCGGGCTCGGCGGGCGGCGGCGCGTGTCCCGAGGGCTGCCCCGAGCGCAAGGCCTTCGCGCGCGCCGCGCGCTTCCTGGCCGCCAACCTGGACGCCAGCATCGACCCGTACCAGGACTTCTACTCGTTCGCGTGCGGCGGCTGGCTGCGGCGCCACGCCATCCCCGACGACAAGCTGACGTACGGCACCATCGCGGCCATCGGCGAGCAGAACGAGGAGCGGCTGCGGCGCCTGCTGGCGCGGCCGGCCGGGGGCCCCGGCGGCGCGGCGCAGCGCAAGGTGCGCGCCTTCTTCCGCTCGTGCCTCGACATGCGCGAGATCGAGCGGCTCGGGCCGCGGCCCATGCTCGAGGTCATCGCCGACTGCGGGGGCTGGGACCTGGGCGGCGCGGGCCCGGCGGCGGCGGCGGCGGCGGGCGAGCGGCCGGGGTCCGAGCGGCCCGGGGCGGCGGCGGCGGCGCGCTGGGACCTCAACCGGCTGCTCTACAAGGCGCAGGGCGTGTACAGCGCGGCCGCGCTCTTCTCGCTCACCATCAGCCTGGACGACAGGAACTCCTCGCGCTACGTCATCCGCGTGAGTGCGGCCCGGGGGCCTCGGGGGCCCCGCGGGTCCCGCGGCGCTGCGGGCCGCTCGCCTGGGCCCGCGCGTGCTCGCGTCCCCGGGGCCCGGGCCCGGGGTGGGGCGCAGCCGGCGGAGCGCGGGAGGTGGGCACCAGGCACTTGCTGCTGCGAGTGGCCGCGGAGCCGCGGGAGCCGCGGTGGATTCCCAGCCTCTCCGCAGCCGGGCCGGCGGGTGGGCGGGGGCGGGGGGGGGGGGGAGCCTGCACCTCCCGGGCCAGGCCCGGGCCCATGGCTGCTCCCACAGTAGCCCAAGTGAAGGAGGGTGGGGCAGGGGTGCAGGCTCAGCCCAGCAGGGTTTGGGGGCAGGGGAGGCAGGAGCTGGTGTGGGCGCCCCTAGGGCTTGTAAGGACGGGTGTCCCGCGGGTCTTTTGGGGCATGTAGGTGGCTGGCAGTTGACCTCTGATGTGGGGTGTCCTGTCTGCCTCCCAGATTGACCAGGATGGGCTCACCCTGCCCGAGAGGACCCTGTACCTAGCTCAGGATGAGGAGAGCGAGAAGGTGCCTGGCCGTGGGGAGGGCTGCGGGGAAGGGGGGGCGGAGCAGGGGGTCCTGCGGCCAGGCCTGTCCACCCCTCAGGAATGCCTGTGCTGCCGCAGATCCTGGCGGCCTACAGGGTGTTCATGGAGCGTCTGCTGAGACTTCTGGGAGCCGAGGCTGTGGAGCAGAAGACCCAGGAGATCCTGCAGCTGGAGCAGAGGCTGGCCAACGTGAGCAGGGGGGCAGGGGCTGCTGGACGCCGGCAGGGGCAGGGGCAGGCAGGCTCAGCTCGGGTCTCCCCCCAGATCACCGTGTCAGAGTATGATGACCTGCATCGCGATGTCAGCTCCATGTACAACAAGGTGACACTGGCCCAGCTGCAGAAGATCACCCCCCATGTGAGTGCCGAAGCCCTGGTGCCTTGTGACGGCGCATCCTGGCTGTAGAGGGACGGACAAGGCCCTCCAGGCAGCTAGGGTCCGTGTCCTCCGTTCGTCTTCCTCATCCTCTCTCTGTCCTCTGTGGCTGCTGTCCTGGGTCCCACAGCTGCGCTGGAAGTGGCTGCTTGACCAGATCTTCCAGGAGGACTTCTCAGAGGAGGAGGAGGTGGTGCTGCTGGCCACAGACTACATGCAGCAGGTGTCCCAGCTGATCCACTCCACGCCCCGCAGGTGAGGCTGCTGCCTCAGACCCCTGCTGGGCACCCTGGGCCTGTTCACTTGGCAACTGTAGGGTGGCCACCTCTGTGCACAGCCACATCAGGGGAGCCAGGTGGGAGCACTGTAATAGGAGTCCAGGTCCCAGGTTCAGACAGGAGCACTGTCAGGGGAGTCTGGTCTCCCAGTTCCAGAGGCCATTGCTCCTTCCTGCCCCACAGGAGCCTGGGCAGCCTTCTATGTGCCATTTCTTTCCCCGGGCCTGGGGGAACTGAGTCAAGTTGATTCCTAGAGAAGGTGTAGCATGGTGGTCCTGCACCAGGACCAGGTGTGGAGGTGGTTGCTTGGTAAAGTCCAGCCCTGAGGCCGGCTCTGCCCAGTGTCCTGCCCCACGGAAAGGGAGGAAATGGTGTGGCCTGTGCCATCAGGCCCTGCGGCCCTTGGGACCAGGAGCGTGTCCTGTGGTGTGACTAGTCTTAACACCCATCCAGGCTGAGCTTCTGTGCGCCTAGATTGCCGTCTCACCCGTCCAAGTTCTTCCCAGGCGGGTACTGGGTGGCTCCCAGTGTGGGATCATAGGGGGACCAGGATATGGTGACATCCCCTGCCCGTCTATAGACAGCCCTTTCTTCACCTGGCCCCAGGATCCTGCACAACTGTGGTGCTGAGCAAGCACCTCTCCCCACATCCCCTGTTCTGGCTCAGGAGACAGAGGGCAGTGATGAGCCCAGAGCCGGCCTGTGTCTGCCTGGGACTGGCTAGTCACGCCTGTCCAGGGGCACTTTTCAGCTGCCAGCAAAGCCAAGTCATTTGAGTGAGTGCAGGGTGGGTAACCATGTACTCTCAGGATCTTGAGCTGAGACCTGGGGGCCCCAGAACCTCTCAGCAGCCACCAGCCGGGGCCTGTTGGGGGCTCAGCTGTTAAGAGACTCTTCCTGCCCTTGCTGCCCCGCTGCTCTGGGGGCCCTGCCCACCCTCTCAGGCAGCTCAAGGCCAGGGCCTTAGGCACGGATGAACGTTGCAGTTCTCCCCACAGACCGGCAGCTCATCATCAGGAGGAGAAAGCCGCCGTGGTCCCCCTGCACCCCACAGCCCCTCTGCTGTGCTCAAGGCCTCACTTGGCCCAGGAGCCTTGTGCAACTCCCCACCCTCTGGTGCCCTCTTCCAGGCCTCCAGATCCTACTCCCAAACCTGTCTATCCGCACTCTGCCACCAGGCATTAGGGGCTGTGATCTCTAGGAAGGATTGCTGCTGTGACATCATCCACCAATTCATTTTATTATTTATTATTATTGCTGTCTCTCCAGGGAGAATGGGAAGCTCAGGAGGACAAGAGTGTTCTTTTCTTGGAAATTTGTCTATTGCCTGAGATAGGCTGGAGGGGCTCAGTGGTCTCTGGACGCCCTGCCCCAGCCCCTTTGCCCCCTGCCCCTCCTTGGGTTCCAGCCTGGACAGGGGATAGACAGGCAGTGTGCGCCGAGGATCTGAGTGAGTGGCGACCTCTCCTGAGCTTCTGAAGGTGAAGGGAGCGAGGTATGGAGGTGGCCGTGGCGCTGTGTCAGGATCTAGCCCCAGCAGCCTCCTTGGCCAGCAGGGTCAGGTCGGGGTAGCAAGCGGCCAGCCTCCTGTGTCTCCCTCCCGTGCTCAAGTCTTAGTTTCCTGTAGGAACCACAGAGACCAAAGCCACCAAAATGGGATACTGGGTCGGGCTGATTTGGTGAGTGACACCATTGGATCTGTACCCCCTAGATCCTCTGAAAAGCCATACATGGGGTGGAGTGGTTGTCCAAGCTCTCAGCTTTACCGGGGAGGTCTAGAGGAGGTTCCTGAGGACCCTGAGTATGGTGGCCACAGTCCTTAGTTGAGGGGAGAAAGCCTTGAGCAGTCCGAAGCTACTGCCTCATCCCCAATCAAGGGGCCTTGCGAATAGCCTTCGGTGGGAGCTCAGGAACTGGTGGCTAGAGCTGGGTGCTGGAAACTGGCACAGATGCAGGGGTTCTGTAGGTAGGGCTGAGCAGACAGCACGGGGGCCCTGGGGTGGTACCAGGTCGGGACGGGATCAGAGGGCCTCTGGCATTCCCACTGACAGCAGCAGTGTTCCGGCCAGCAGCAGCAGAGGTGGAGCAGTGGCCGGGCTGGGACCTGCAGCGTTGTTCTGGCCTTGATGTGAGGTGTTGATCTGGCCAGGCCGGGGGGTGCTGGCCTGGCCAGGGTTGGAGGTGTTGGTCTGTCCGGCCGGGGGCGGCAGGCCGCAGTCGGTGTAGGGCTCCAGGCAGGCGGCGAAGGCCATGACGTGCGCGATGTAGTTCTGCTCTTGGACGCCATGCATCAGGTGCGCCTGCGGGCCGCGGGAGAACACTGCCACGTCCTCTCCGCCATGCGTCTCTGAGGCCAAGGGCACGGCCGCCTGCTGCCGGTATGTTTCTGCGACTGGTGGGACAGGGCAATCAGGGCAGTGAGCTTTACCCGAGTTCCTCGTGCTCCCAACCCCTGACCTCCCCTGCACTCACCGCTCTCGCTTTCTGTGACATCGGGCCGGGTGCCTTGCATGTAGCCGGGGCCGTTGCCGTAGAGGATGGACGTGTAGGACTTGCCGTCTAAGGCCTTCTGTGGAGCCAACCCTGCACAGGGAGAAGTGGACACTGTCCTCTCTGGACCGCTGCTTATGGGCATGTGTACCACGGGCCAGGTCACAGGTCACAGGCCTAATGTAGCTGCTGTTATAACACCCCCCCCTCACTCCCGAATTAGGAATACAACCAAGGCCCAGGCCTGCTGGAAAAGCCTTCTACCACTGGATCCACACACCCAGTCCTTTTGGTTCTGGACAGGGTCAGTTTGCCCAGGCTGACCTTTAACTCTAGGACTTTCTGCCTCTGCGTCCCAGGTAGCTGACATTACAGCCAGGGGGTACCACAGCCTCTTTTTGACACTACTGGGGCTGCAATGCAGGGCCTTGTGCCTTTAGAAGCTGCCCCTGGAGCATCTGAGACACCCCTCGATGCTCTTGACATTTGAGGAAACTGAGATGCAGAGATTTCTGCCACCACACTGACCCAGCAGCCCCGCCACTGTCCCCAGCATACCAAAGATGGAGGTGCCCCGCAGTGTGTAGCCCCCGAAGGAGAAGACGTGGGAGTGGTCGGCGGTGACGAGGGTCAGCGTGTCCCGCTCGTCGGTGAGCAGCGTGGCCTTCTCGATGGCGGCGTCAAACATGACGGCCTCGGTCAGCGCCTTGTGTGCGATGCCCTCGTGGTGGCCGTGGTCGATGCGGCCGCCTGCGGGAAGCAGGTGGCAGTGCCAGGGTGCTGCTCCTGCCCGGGGTGGGTCCCCTCCCCCCGGAACGGCCGCTCACCCTCCACGAAGAGGTAGAAGCCCCGCGGGTTCCTGCTCAGCACCCGCAGCGCCGCCTCCGTCATCTCCTCCAGGGACGGGTCCAGCGCGGGGTCTCGGGTCATCTCGTACTTCATCTCGGTGGGCTCGAACAGGCCTGAGGGACGAGGCGGCGTGGTGAGCCCGGGCGCGCGGGGCGCGCGGGGCGCGGGGGCAGCGCAGCAGGGGGTTCTTACCCAGGAGGTGAGTGGCCGCGGGGTCCTGGGCCGCCTGCAGGAGGCCTGTGCGGTTCCACACGTACTGCGCCCCCTGGAGGAGCACAGCGCTCAGCGCGGAGGAGGCCGCGCCCGCCCGCCCGCCCGCCCGCGCCCCTCCCCGGGGCCAGGGTACCTGGTGCTGCCCCAGCCACTCCTGCACCAGGTCGCGTCCGTCCAGCCTGCTTCCTGCCCGCGTGGCGTCCGCCGGGTATTCGGGGTCCGGGGTCCCCTTGGGGAACATGAACTTGCGGCCCCCGCCCAGGATCACCTGTGGACACAGCACCAGCTGGCCGCTGGGCCTGGCCGCTCTCCTGCCCGTGCCCCCCCCAGCCCCAGCCGCCCACGCCTGCCCGCGGCCCGCGGCGCCCGCGCGCGCTCACGTCGATGTCCATGTTGGAGACGAGCTGGGCGGCGATGTCCCGGCAGCCCTCCTGCAGCGCCGAGGCCGGCATGTCGGCGTCTGAGTACCAGTTGCGGTTCACCGTGTGCGCGTAGGTGCCCGCGGGGGACGCGTGCTGCACGCGGGTGGTGGTCACCACGCCCACCGACTTCCCTGCACACACAGGCCCGAGGTCAGCACGGGTCACCCAGACCTCCAAAGATGCTGCCCGTGTCCTGAGCTCAGCGGCCCCCCACACCTGCTCGCTTGGCGCGGTGCATCACAGACGAGACCTCGTTGCCGAAGGTGGTGTTGCACTGGTCCACACGAGCGGCCGCGCTCAGCCCGATGGTCTTGTAGTTGGCCTTGACCCCGCACAGGTAGGCCGTAGCAGTGCCTGCGCTGTCTGGGACCTGTCTGTCCACGTTGTAGGTCTGGGGACAGAAACTCAGCTCTCATCTGGGTGAGAATTGACCACCCCACTACCACTGTACTTCCAGCTGTGGGGCTCAGGTGACAGTGCTCACCTTGGACAGAGCCATGTAAGGGAAGCGGTCCATGGCCAGGGGCGTCTCAGGTCCCAGATGACCCCCCATCTGCCCCTTGAGGATGCGGGTGGCTGTCACCGTGGGCACCCCCATGCCTGAAGAAGCAGAACCTGGTCAGCTCTGAGCCCCAGGGCCCGCTGGGGCCAGGCCCCTTGGTGCAGAGCTGTGGGGCCCCGGGGTGTCCAGGCAGTGTCACTCACCGTCCCCCAGGAAGAGGATGAGGTTCTTGGCCGAGGTCTGAATGGGCTGCAGCTTCTTGGCGGCGTTCAGGGCCTCGGCTGCCTTTCGGTTCCAAAAAGCTGCATCTTCCTCTGCCACTGGCCAAGGGGAACATGGACCCAGGTCAGACAGGACAGATAGAGAGGCAGCCCGTCTGCTAGGTAATGGGGGTGCCCCATTACCTGGAATGACACTGCGGGACAGCTGGAGCCTCAGGGCTAGTAGCAGCAGCACCCAGGTTCTCTGCATGTCGGCAGCTGGGGTGGGGTCGCAGTGGGGATGGCCAGGTGGGGACACCAGAGTCCCCACGACAGCACAGGCTCCACAAGCTCCAGCCAGAGGACTTTGTTCCTGGCTGTAAAGGCTCCTTGTCCCTCCCCGCAAGGAGGCAGCCTCCATGTCCCCACCCCTGCCCTGTGAACTGATGCCCCGCTGGAGGGAGGGAGGCCGTGGGCTGGGCAGGCTAGCCTGGGGCAAGAGTCCTGAGGGGGCCACGAGTCACCCAGGCCTGGAGTGGATGAGGGGCAGGTGATGCGCTGGGAAGTGTTGGCCCCAGGCTGTAGAATGAAGCCGCTGCCTGTTGCTGCCCTACAGGGCCTGGCTCTCCTCTCCTGCCAGCAGCAGGGGCCTGACTCAGTTGTGGGTGCTGAAACAGATGGAACTCAGGGTTCCCAGGCTGGACCAGGGGCGCAGGCTTAGCCTCCTGCTGTCAGGAGCCCCATAGAGGAAGGGGAAGCAGGCACAGTGACTGGGGCCCCCATGGTGTGTTTTGAGGTTCTTGTAGTTGGAGGTTTGCTGTGTCTGCCCTGGCCTTGGGCTCTTCCTGTGTGTCTGCTGTGTGTCCACATGGTTGTATGTATTCCTGTGTACGTTCCTGTATATATATCTGTGTATGTGCGGACTCAGGAGGACATCTGTGCCTGGAGCTGGCAGGCTGGGGCAGTGCCAGGGTCCTGGGCCAGATGAGGCGCAGGCTGACTCTTTTAAAGCAGTGGTCAGGTATGTGGGTGATACGGTTGACCCCTGTCCTCATGGATCAATAGATGAATCCTGGGGGTGAGTCTTTCTCCTTCGGCCCTGGGCACACCCATGGGTGAACCCTTGATAAGGAATGAAGAGGTTTCTTGAGCTGGCCTCAGGCAGGGTTCAGAAGTATTTCTGCAACAACAGCAATCCCAAGTCTGAGTGACTACTCAAGGGAATTAAAAGTAGGGATTCAGAAAGCCAGGCATGGTGGAACATGCCTGTAATCCTGGCACTCAGGAAGCCAAGATAGGAGGATCTTAAGTATGAGGCCAGCCTGAGCTAAAGTATCAGAGAACTTTTCTAATTAACAAAGTAACAAAAAAAGCAGTGACTATACATCATATTGAGAGCAGCACTAGTTACAGGAGCCAAAAGATGGGGTCAAGTGCTTGGGCTGCCATGTGCTTCAGCCATGATTGTCTCCCAAAGGTTGGCTGGGCTGCTGCCCCCTGAAGACATTCTCATAGTCATGGATTCCCAGAAGACCCTGCCACAGGGTTGTAAGAAACGAGCAAGATTGCTGGGCACTGGTAGCTCAGGACTGTAATCCTAGCTACTCAGGAGGCTGCGGTCTGAGGATAGTGGTTCAAAGCCAACCCCAGCAGGAAAGTCTGAGAGACTCATCCCCAGTTGACTACAATAAAAAGCCAAACATGGATCTGTGGCTCAAGTGATAGAATGGTAGACTTGAGAAGGGGGAGAAAAACAAAAAGCCAAGTGAGAATGGAAGGCCTAGACTTCAAGCCCCAGCACTGGCACAAAACACACTAATAGAATAAAATACAATTGTAATTAGTTTCAAAGAAACCGATACCTTTCTCAGTTTCCCACCACAGCCCACGCAGAACAGCCTCCTCCAGGCCCCCAGCATGTTCCTGTCCACCTGTCCCCACCTCGCTCCCCTCCTCCCCTCAGGGCCTGCTTTCCAGGTCCTCCCTTCTCTACAGTGCCTCTGAATCACCAGGACATCGCCGGCGGCCTGCCCTGCCCCGGCCACTACCCCACAGCTGATTCTCCCACACACTTCCACATGCTGAGTTAGGGAAGCCCTGTTTCTTCAAGTTCAGCAAGAACTAAACTATTTGGGAAGTGGAGGTGT